CTGCCACATACAGATGTTTTGATTGATCCTTTTCATTGATCTTTGGAGCTCTGGAGCAGAAGGAAGTTGCTACAGCTCCCTCTGGTGAGAGACTCTGGAGGCGTCTCCATAGTAACATAAAGCAGAGTTCTTCTTAAAAAGGCTGTTGTGGAAAGGAACCAAAGCTGGCAGATGCTGGTCCTGGTGGGGAAATACCTCCCAGTTCAGCTACTGGAAACCAGCCCAGAGCTTTTTACCCTTCTCAGGAAGTCAGCTAGGTCTCCAGTAACCCATATTGATGCCTTCCAAATCTTTTCTCTTAGGACCTTAATGCAAATGAAAATCACATTATCTCTGTCTATGACATGGTCATATGTTGCAGTAATGCAATCCTTTTTTAAATCAATTTTTATCACACATTTACATTGTAATTAATCATTTTCAAGCATGTTGCAGTAGGAAATGACAAGAAAAGACTGAGGGCCAATACTTTTGTCAAGTCATCAGTGCCACGCTGATATGTTATTTATATTGAACACACTGCAGTATGTTCCAGACTACAATAATAAATCCAAAATCTATATTTTAGTACTTTATTGTGATAAAATGTTTGTGTAGACTTTCATCAAATGCACATATTTGATAAACCAATGCATTTCTTAACAATCCATAGGATGTGTATACAGGGAGTCAGAAATCTACAAACTCAAATTATAACAATGTCTGCTTCCCCCCCCCCATTATGTCAACAAATATAAAGCCACTGAACTGCCACTCATATATATATATTTAATTCCAGAACACAATTACAGAGACATGCTCCAGGACCTTCCCAGAACATATATACAGGAAATACCGGGATAAAGAGAAGGTAATGCTATTAAAGACCTACCCTACCGATATTAATGTAACCCTCATGAAAATCCTTAAATCGCACTGATGCTTCAGCCAACAGTGCAGACCCACTGAACTTTGCCGAGAATTTGCCGAGCAGCTCTGTCATAACTGAACTGCTTTAAATCCCTCTTTTCAGATGTCTCCCTGGCACTAGCTGGTACAGAACCTACCAGCTCTCGTATACTCCCGTGGTTATTTTGGGTGAAATAAATTCCACAAAAAACATCATAATGAGCCTATTCAACAGTCATAAACAATTATCAGATGAATTTTGCAGAATGTGGATGACATTTTTTTAACTTTCTAATCCAATTTGGTGAGAGCAGATTCTGAACCCCCTCAGAGGCCCTGACTGTGGCTGTATTTGCTCCCACAGAGCTGAAATTTCCCTTCAGCCCAGCTGGCAGAAGTTATTAGATATAACAATATCTCAGGAGGAAGGGGCTACAGCCTGAATAGGCCCTTTTGTCCAGACCTCTATCAAGGCAGATTAATTATGCATTGCGGAGCACAGTTTTTTAAGCCCTGAATTAGGCCCTTCCTTGTGATTAAAGGACAAACACAGGACCTGAAGGTTGAAAGAACTCCCGTTTCCCTTCAGCAGACAGACTTCTTTAATGAGTAAAAAGCAAAGGAGGGGGGCTGAAAAAAATTGTAATTAAAGAGCTTTATGTATTTACAAGTAGCAGTTCAGCCTGGCATTTAGGGAAAAAAAAGGATTCTTCAACATTTTTTCACACGAACTCGCAGTAGGTGGCTGTGCTTTAAGACACTGTAGCATAATTGGGCTGTACTGTGTTAACCTGCCCTCATCCAAAGGCACTCGAGGGAGTACAGTGAATACAGTCACACAGTATCCTACCTGATTACAGATTTTTCTTCCTTTGTCTTTTTTTTTTTAAGACCACTGCTGAATAAAAGGTGCTGGCTGGGACTAATGAAGAAAAGGAATGTGTTCTTTCATTCCTTTCTTGAAAAGAAGGTTCCCTCAAATCCTTTTGAAGTTCAGTGCAATGGGACAAAATAAGAATTCAATTAACTCTTTAGACTGCTGATCTTCATAAAAGCTCTTGCCTTCTAGGAAACAATATGCATTTTGCTACATCTATGTATATTTAAACTTCTGTGCACAAAATATTCTCTTACTGTGTGAGTCCTTTTATCACCAGCAAAAATTACAACTAGAGCAGAAATAAAAAATAATAATTTATACTGCCTTTAAATGTAGTATAATGATTCCAACTGTACCATGCATTTAACTTTAAGAAATCTCAGAAAAATATTGATATTCTGAATTTCAAACAATAAAGATAATTCATGATGAATGAATACATGAGCAAATCACTCTTCTTTTAATACTTTCATAAAAACATAATCTTATGGAATGAGAAACTGAAATAAACCTTCACATTTTTATTTACAAATCATACTATTGACTGTTGACCTCGAACATGTTGAACGGTGTTCCAGCTGCTTTTGAAGCATAATGAGATAAAATACTGTACACTTTAAATTCCTTAGCCCTTTATCCCTTTAAACCTTTATCATCATTATTAAGGGTTTTGAATAATGTCATGATTAGTCATCTAAAGAAAACCAATATTTTCCTTTTTGTTTCATGTTTTGCAAAACAGAAACTACAGAAAACATAAATATGGAACTGTCAACATGAATGAAATGAAAAGTCACTGTCTCATTTGTATCAATTTGTAGCACTTGAAGAGCTTGGGTATTTAACAAAATAAATACATATAAAAATTGGGTATTAAAAAAAGCACTAGATACTATTGCAAATCTTTACAATCCTGACTCCTTTTAAGGGCATACAGATCTCAATGGAGATGTACAGTGAGTTCCTTTTTGTAACCCATTAGTGTTACAGTGTAATATCAAATATCAAAGTCTTACCAGTATAATTCATGAAAGGTGTGTGAAAAATAATTAAGACTTGATACAACTGTGAAGTGGAGTTCAGCTCTCATTCTGCATCCAGTAATTATCACCCCATTGCATCTGTAGATCCATTGACAAAACTGTGTGAATGAAGGGTGTAAGTTTTTTGGGTTCTTTTAATACACTACCTAAAGCCCTCTTACACTTAACTGAATTCTTGAATAATGATACCTGTGGGTTTAGTCATTAGGAAACAATTTGGACTTGCAAGTGATATGAAACAAAAACACAACTAAATCTCCATACAAAAACAGATGATGAACTATGTAACGGTAAATACAAGTCAATACACATTAAAAACTAAGCTGTTAGCACATTGTTCTTTATGGCCTTTAAACTTGATGAAACAGAAGCCTGATATTCTTTTGACTCCAAGGCCTTTGCCATAGTTGGAACCACATTATACTGTGCAATAAGTAGCAACACCTTTTTTTATTGAAACATCTTTGTGTATAATTACGTACAATAGAAACTGATGACCATTCTGGCAAAAGCAAGAATCTTTTTCGTGGTTATCTTATGGAGCCCGTCTAAGGCTACATTTGTGTGCAATTCTTATGATGGTTACTGCAATAAGAATGCTGTCCAGTAGGCTGGTGGCAGAAAACGTTTAAAAAACGTACAGTCAATGTTCTATACATTTACTAATGGAACAACAGCAACCCCACCAAAGCTTTCTCTTTTAGTTACAGCATACATAAATAAAGTCTTATAGTTATTACTATAGGCAGCATATATGTATTAACATTGTTAATCACATCAAAAGTTTAATGACGCCACACTTTCTTCTTCATGTGTTGCCATTTTTCTAGTTTGGTTCAGCAGCAGCCTTAGTACAAAACAGAATCCTAGAATAGCAAAACAGCACCAACCTGGAAACCAATGGTCTTTTACAACAGACACTGGTTTCATGAACTACAGCTTTATCTACTGGATTGCTCCAGACTTCATCTGCTTTTCCCCCCTGGCTTTATTTCTAGGTGTGCTAAGGCAGCTAATTTTAGCAATGATTCTTTCCTTACATGGTGTTTGGTGTTGCAGAAAATCAGGATCTGAGTCACTGCAAGACACATTTTAAATCTTAAATGGACAAAAATAAAAACCTCAGTATACAATTGGCATGTCAAACAGAATAAAATTCAAATTTGCCATTTTTATTACGGTATGCTGTAAAGTTGCTTGGAAAAAAATATTTTCAGATACTTGTATACACAGAGCTACAGCTGTGAAACAAGAACATCCACTACAGGTAACAGGCATCCATCTGCTATAATAGTGTGATATTTGGAAGAGAGGTTTATGATGAGGCCTTTGTCTTATATGACAACCACAGTTTAGAAGTACTATGTAGACTGTTTTCACATGAGCTAGCATGACGTGATTGACGGAAACATTTGAGGAGACAGTTTAGACTGTCTCTTCTCTTTTCTTGTTTTTTTCCTGTCTTTTTATTTCTCTTTCGTAAACAAATCATTTTATTAAGGGTTACAGCATTTCTATTTTATCACCATGGGTGTGTCAGGCTCTGCTTCTGGGCTTGACCTTTTTAATTTTTGTTCCAACCTGAGTAGTCAATTAAACAACTATTCTCATTATCATTTATTTGTAAAGTGCACATATTTGAATTTTTCCTCAAAGTTTTCTTACGCAAGACTGGCTTCTTTAAAGGTACAACAGCCTATAAATCAGAGCTGGTTTAGCTGTAAAGCTTCGCAGCTAATTAGAAAAACCAACTATGACACTGAGAGCGTGGGATTAACAAAAAAAAATCCTCTCGGTTTGAGTTTGAGACCCTTGACTTCACCCAATCGTCAGTTATGTTATGTCTTTGCACAATTCTCATCGGTCAGGGCGCATTATCTCCGTGGTAGGACTAAAGCGTCTTGGTGCACTCGTCATTCCTTTATTTTTTATTTTTTTTGCATCGGTGAACTCGTTTTTAAATTATTGCATTCGGAGATTAGATAAACATAACACAAAATCCAAAAGTTTAATAACGTAAACCAAAAAAAAAACCAACAACAACAACAACAACAACTTATTCAAGCATGAGAAAATGAAAGCCGGACAACCAAACTGTTTCATATAAAACTTTAGAGATGTACGTATTTCGAATACCTTTATTAAATGGATTATTATTATAAGTAAAACGTGGCGATTCCGACATCTACCTTTCTATTTCAGTCAGGGTATCCATCTTCTTCCAAATCCCCCATTTCAGACAGGAGTCACTATACCTTACAGGAAAAAAATCACTCTTCTCTCCCAATGCTTATTGTATTTATTTCCACAAATCTAAAGTCTTTTCAGACAACACTTTGTCTTTTAATAAAACAAAAGTTACTGTTTATTTTTAACATTTTACATTTTCACCTTAAACTTTACACATCCGCAAAAACAAATCGTGGTCTTGTTTACAAAGGTTTTCAGGTGAACGGGATTATGGGAAATGTAGTTTTCTTCTTCGGATCAATGCGGCGAACCATGAAGCGTACACTGTCTGAAAGAGCAAAACAATTCATTAGCAGCACATTACACAAGGAGATATAATACAGCCAGTGCACAAAAGCAAAAATCTTGGAAATAGCAAAGGATATCTTGTGAAAAATACAAATCTCCTTGCAATAAACAAGAAGTAATAGTTTTGCCTTTTAGACTGTCAAAATAAACCCAGCCATCTCACCTATTTTTTGTAAACACAGAGTTAAATTGGCATTTTTCAATAGCTCTTCAACAATAAAAAGTCAGAGAAAGAGAAATCACTTCACTCAATTGTATCAGCGGGCATAATAGGCTCCAGCAGGCTATAGTTTGTTACAATTCAGGACTATAGAGCCAATCTACCTATTTACAGGTTTTCAGGATCTCCTTAAATTGGAAATGCCTGAAGAGCTGGGAGATGTTAGTGAATTGGCCCAATTAAGCCAACAGCAAGGTCATTTAGTTAATGAAGATCTGAGTTGTAATGAGAATTTGCAGACACACCTGCCCTTAAAGACTAAAGTTGAATCACACTGCTGTAAGTGAAAGGGATTGATCTGAGTTTGATTAACTCATAAAATTGAAACATTATTACTTATAGTTTAAGTTCAGTTAGTGATCTGAGGTATGATTACCAGTAAATAAGAATACATCTGACATTTAAGTCTGACATTTTTAGTATAATTATATATATATTTCTGAATAACATGTTTACTCAGCTTCAGGTCTGAAGGCCTGCTGTACAGCAGCTTGAATAGGTTTCTTTATATCTCCATCTACTTGAGAGCAAGGAAAGGGCTTCAACTTGTCCAATTAAGCACACCATGAGTTCAATTGTGTGCTTAAGAGGTCAGGCAGAATAAAAACCAATAAGAAACCTTTTGACCCTCCAGGCTTAGAGTTGGGTACGCCTGCTTTATTGTCATTGCTCTATAATTACCTCTTACGTACAGAATGTTGCATAAGGTCTTCACTAAATTAGGTTTACACAAACTGTGAAATATGTCATCAGTAGAACTGTTACTAATTCCATTATGAGCCTTCCTTCTTCTTTTTAAAAATCTCATATCACCGATTCTCAACCCTGGACCTTTGTCATATTGCTTCTGTTTCAACACAGTGGTGAATCTGAGGTTAACTGACCCCTTTACTTGAACCTCTGGCATTAAAATAAAGGTGGCATGGCAGTGCAGGTGTGAGCACGACTGCCTCACAAGGCTGAGGCCCTGGGCGAAGGGGTGGACCTGGAGCGCTCTGTGTGTGGAGTTGGTATATTCTCCCTGTGTCTGCGTGGGTTTCAAGTGACTGTGGGACTGTTGCTGTGTGGGCCCTGCGATGGACTGGCTTCCCATGCACAATGTATCCTGCCTTGTGCCCTTCGCTTTGCTGCGATAGGCTCTGGCTTCCCTGCCACCATGTATTGGAAAAAGTGCTTAGAAAATGGAGGGATGGATTAAAATATACTCTGATGTGTGAGTGTTTTTTCAAAAAAAGAGTCCCATTCATTCACTCTTCAGCTTGCTTATTAAGTTGTTCTTGTGTTTATGTCTAAACAACTTTCCATATGTGACTAATTAAAGGTCTCTAGACACAGGTTGGAATGACACTAATAAACCCTCCCACCAAGAAAGGGCATTCTGTATACTTACCACACACCTGGAAAAGACCAGGTGTGAAACACTGAAATCGTTTAATTAACAAAATAATTAAGAAACCCAACCAAGTTCTTATGAAGTAAAAAAAGGTCTTAACAATCAGCTAGAGAGAGATCAATTAGTCTAACTGATTCAAAGCTCCATTGGAATGAAAACCAGAAGACACAGGGGTCCTCCAGGACCAGGGCTGAGGACTACTGTCTTACATGTTTCCATGTCTTGCTCTTTTTAAAGGGATATAAAACTGAGGCGCCAATTTACCCCCTGCTTTGTGCATCCAGAGTGGCACTCTTCCAAGCTGTTCTGAAATCTCCTGCATTCAGAGGAGGATGATCAAAAAGTACAGCGCACCTCTGGAAGACAGGGAGAACAGAGAACCCTGTGTACAGACAGCAGAGAGAGCAAAAAGAAAGGGGAGAGAAGGATACTAGGAGAAGAGGAGACTCTTGTTTTTTCAGTGTGTGAATATAACTTAGGAGTGTTTTTTCATTGCTTTGAAGGTTTTCCTGTATTGTATAAAGTGAATTATCCAAAGGGAACCAATCTAAACAGCTATAATTTTGTGCATTTACCCTGAGAACTCCTCTGTATAGTTCAATACTCTGGTTGATCTGGTATCAGAGTTTCCCAGAGGCTCATGACTGTCATGATGAGACTAAACAAATAATTGTAGTCATGGAACAAGGTTAAAGATGACAAGTAGTCCTCTCAGTGAAACGATGTTAGAGTTGACTGAGAGAGCTGGGAGAGAATACGCTACGGGTTTCTGTTACTGCTAACATCATTTTGTAGAAGTTACAATAAAAAAAACATAATATCACAGGAAAGCTGTTCTCTCCAGCAAAGCCCACAAAAATCCTGTTGCATAATCCCCCCCTCCCGCCCTGCACTCCTGCACTGCCCTGCTCCTGCAGGCCTCTATATTTCCCTTGGTTCGGCAATGGAGATTGAGCAGACACACATGCACAGCTAGAAACTTCTTTCCCCCCTACTTTCTTTCTCTCTTTCCCTAGCCTGCCTGCCAAAACCCAGCAGTGTTAATCAGCCAGGCCTATCTTTTAAAGAGCAGCAGTGACAGCAGTCTGGTCTTCATCACTGATTAATGGTGGGTGTGCATTGGGGGGGTTGATTTCAGGTCATGTTGCCAGGAGCAGAGGCCTCTTTCTTACAGCTCTCAGTCCAGAGGGGAAATCAGAGAACAGGGCTTCATATACCTTCCTCATTAAAAAAAGCTTTTTCTTTTAAAGATGACATGCAATGTGAGGGGGCTTCAATGTTTGTATTTTGGGGGATTTGTTTTTCAGATGCTTTGTACTGCCATACTGACTTTTCCAAACACTGAAGAGATTTAATTCTCCATTGCTTCCTGCGTAGTTAAAAAGGCATATGCACAGCAGGAATGAAGTTGAACCATGTGGTGTTTTACAAAGTAAGAGTGCAGTAAGAATCTGGACAAGAAATATTTAGTTGAAATGTAGTGAGAAACCATATGTTGACACAAGCAGGGTGAAGATGTAGCTTTCAGCCAGTGACAAACACCCCCCTCTTTCCCAAATATCTGTCACACTTCCTTTCAAATTGGTGAATTGCTGCTTTGTGATAGAAGGTTACTTTATATCTGAGTAAATAAGAATGGATAGAAAATATATCATTCACTGCACTAATCTTTTTCGAGAGATTTCTCTTTTTCAACCGGCAACTTGATGGGGTTTCTAAAATGCAAACAAACCTATGACATAAAAAATGTTGAAATTCATCTTGCTGGAAATAAACAGCAAGAAGTTGATTTTTAAGTTTTATTTTACTCAGATGTGAAGCTGAGTAATATTAACAGTTCTTTTGTAATACAGATTTTCACTGCTATCACACCAAACAGTTTAGTGCTGTCAGACTGCAGTCTGTGGAATATGAGTAGTACAGCATTACACCATATGAATTCTAAAAGGTAGTTAAATTCCCACACAGCAGAGTTATTACCAGAGAAGGATTTATTGCCTGAACAGACGTCATGGATAAGTTATTAAATTTTGTTTAAAAAAGTATTTATATAATGTTGGGTGTTTTATTATTTTCAATGGTTCAACGAGGAAAATGAGAGGTAAAAATGATTCTTGATTTGCTGTTATACTATGTGCCTGTGATAATTATCATCTGGTCGTCGGCCTTCAAACAACAACAGCTCAGTGCTTTGGAATGAAAATTAGCTGGACTCAGTGGAAATGGATAGCTCTAAAAGGAAAGACATTTTGAAAGTGTACCATTTAAAGAGTATGAAATTCCTGCTCTGAAAAGACCAGCTGTATTCTGAAGTTGAAATTCTAATGTGTGGCAAGAAACAGTTTTTCTCATTCTTTTAGATAAAATATTAACTCTGTTTCAATGATCAATTAATTCACTCAAGCCCCTACCATAACTAATTATAAATAACAAATAATAAAGTTTTTTATCTGTTGAGTAATTATAATATACTGTATATATAGTGTTTTTAAAGCACTAGTTATAGAGGAAGTCAAATTATAGAACAGTTAATTCTCATTCAATGTTTCTGGTAATATCTTTGGGATTTGATTAGGATTATGAAAATGTGCTAAGTCATGCTCTAAAAAAGAGAAACCTTAATCCTCAGACCTGAGCAACAGAGCAGAGCTCGAAATTAGCAAGAAGAATTGTTTGGTCCCTATAGACCCATTTCTGAGACAGACATATAGTATAGTACACTTTGTGCCCAAGGAACTAGACAAGCTGAGATAAAAATGCAATTCTTGCCTAAGTGTCAACAGAGTAAGCACCTTATGACAAGTACAATTTGCATGTAAGTTATAAATCCTGCTTTAGTTGATGCACTGCTGTTAACTCTTAGGCACATTTGAAAACGAATATTTTACGTCTGACTTCAAGGTGATAAGTATTATGTAATTCTATTTTCTATGGCCTATTTAGTCCTGTCTAAGGTAGTGGGTTTGGCATTGCAAGAGATAAGCTATTTACTCAGTCTAGTTTATATGGCTGTTCTTATCTTATTTATCTGGAGATGTTATTCAGCCATTTACAGTCCCATGAGACTGTTCATAAGATTAAGTGTGTTAACCCTGGTGTCTTAAAGTTCCTCCTTAATTAATTTGGTGGAGCATTTTTTGCTTTAGGGTAAATCCTGAAATGTAAGCTGGCCTTCGTAATCAAAGCTCTTACCTAGAGAAAGAAACATTTCTTGTAGACCAGGGTGATGAGTTAAAGGGCTGAGAAACTGTAAAAATGAATAAGTATTCCAAAGAATTAGAAAGATGTTAAATGTCCTCCATAATGTCCAGTGATTGGTATAA